AAACCAGCCGTCGACGTGAACAAAAAATTGGTTCAGCCATTTGGGTGGCTTTTCGCTTCCGGACATGGTCACACCTTACGAAAAAACACGCCAACGTGGGCACCGCGGCACAAACCGCCTGGGGCGCGCCCGACGTCCCCCATCTGGCCCCCGTATCAAAAAAAAACGGTCGATGTGACCCAAAATTCGCGCGGCCCTGGGGGTGGCCCTGCGTTCCTGGAAGTCTTCACTCTTCACGAAAAGTCACGCCCACGTCAGCCCCACGGCGCAGGCCGACCAGAGGGCGCCCAACGTCTCCCACCCTGGCTCCTGGAGCAGAAAAAGCGGCAGTCGACGTGGAGCAAAAATGGGTTCGGCCCCTTGGGTGGGTCTTCGTTTCTGGACATGCTCTGTCCTTAGAACCTCGACGCCCACCTGAGCCCCGCGGCGCTGGTCGCCTAGACGCCATACCAGCACGACCACAAACACTAACTCCAACACGACCGCCAGCACGAACACCAGCCCGACCACCAGCACGACCGCCAGCACAACCAACTGCGCGACCACACCACCTCCAGCACGACCACCAGCACGACCACCAGCACAACCGCCAAAACGAAAACCAGCAAGACCACCAGCGCGACCACCAGCACGACCACCAGCCCAACCAACATTCTAGCGCTCCCCCATCACTCGGGGGCTCTGTGCGAGTGGGCACTTTCTGTTCCTTCTCCTCCTGTGCCTCCCCCTCGCACTTACCCTCTCTCTCTCCCCGTCCTATCGACGGCAAAACCGCCCGCGCGACCGCTAGCACGACCACCAGTAAACCCCCAGCACGAGGGTGAGGGATGAGGAGGAGGGACAAGATGTTGTGGCGAAGCGAACAAAAACACAAGCCGCCGCACCTAGACGGCGCATCGGCAGGAAAACTCATGCAGAAGACATGTCTGGGCTGAGTGCAAGCGCGCCGGAACGTTACCACTGAGCATTGCAGAAGTGAACGGCGGTGGGAGTTGCACCAGCACTGTGCAATTCAAAAAGGAAGGAGGAGGGAAAGAGGGAACGGGGGAAGGGGGGAAGGCAAGGGAGGCGAGGGCAACTTCTCAGTATTTGGCAGAACTGCCCGACTGCAGAGTTACATTTCGCAGCCGACGACTGAAGCAGCAAATCTAACCAATTTGGGCTATCGCATGCTACGCTCAGGGCGAGTGCATGCATGTAACTTCTCACTGTAGTGGGGGGCGTCCTTTTCTGCGAAGATGTTCCCACTTCCGAAAAACAAGCCGTGCGAATACCCTTTCTCAAATACCATATTTCTCGGGAGCGTGTCCGGAAGAGCAGTGGCGAGTTTACCATCCTGTGCAAGCTGCTGCTGCACCAACATAGTGGACAGTCGCTGAGCGCCAGCTGCAGTCATCACTTCGGCGTCGCTCACGCGCGAAATGAAAGCTGCAGGTATGTTGAAATTTGTCTGGAGGCGCCTGGCTCGGAAACTGCCCAGCCTACCCAGGCTACCCAGGCACGATCCCGATCCACACGAGAGCTTGGAGAAAATGCAAGATTCCAGGATCCGCATGTATAGTGTAAGGATCTTGTCTATACAAATATCCTGTGGTTAGACTCAGAAATGCCAACCGTGGCGTGGACCCCTCCACTGGACAGAATCCGCAAGTCACCCCATGACGGCACCCTCAGCCGGGGTTTCCCTTGGAACTGTCTCTAGATGGTTGATGGCGATGCCCGATGGTGCAAGACATGGCTCGACACTCTTGCACGACAGATGCACTACAAATCGAAACAGCGAATCGAAGGTGGCACACAATCGCTTCTCGAACAAAGCACTTGCGATATCGGGATGTCGGTTCTCCGGCATTCGTGCTGAAGTCAGTCAGCCGCTCTTTCCTTGGGCCAAAAATGGTCAGGGATAGATTTCCATGCCGAGGTAAGGCGCTGCCGCTCTTACCTCGGACGTGACGCGCCGAAACCTCGGCGCGCGCAGCTGGGCAGATCTGCCATCAGCTGGGGCGCGAAAAAGTCTGGACGCGACCAAACTCCCGACTTCCTGGGGATGTGCTCAGAGACCGAGAGTCGATCGCACGAACTAACCCTTAAACTCCGGGGGCGAAGTGCCAAAAACATCTGGACTCGGCAAATGCGCTCTGGCTGCGCCGGGGCACCCATGTTAATGCCAATACGCTAACGCTACTATACTTTTGTCGGCGCATGAGCAGCCTGCTACCCCATTTCCTAGGATGAGTGTTCCCCGCGAGTGAGGAAGCACCAGACATGCTAAAACGGATCGTTCAAAGCCCATTCCGCGCGCAAAAATACCGAAATGCTACGTTGCGCGGGGAGTTGCGCGCACCATCGAATACCACTGTGACCATGATCCTCCGCATTGCACAAGGAGCAAAACCAGGCATCTGCTGCGCATAACCAGCACTTACGAAACGCCCCTGATCAGTCGACATGTCGCTCGGCCGACTGGCCAAAATGTCACCCACGCAGAGTGTCACGATGC